TGATTGTACACACCACACAGAGTGGGTACAAGCTAAAGTAACTTTCCAGTTTCTTGAACACATTTACTTGTGTGCAAGTTTGTTTCTGCACAGATGAAAACACCCTGTGCATGGACATAAAGTGGTAACGTCCCCTCCCCAGGTACATGTCACACACAGCCAGGCCTGACAGCCCCCTCGAGAGGATCGGTCATGGCTCTGTTACACATGGCATTAGACAGGGGAGTTCCCTGATGCAGACCCTGGAACTTAAAAGTTGAGCTCTGGGGGAAGAGCACAGCAGGGTGGGGACAGCAGGGCAGGGGCGTGGGGAGACAGGACACAGACGGGAATCTCAGGTCAGGTCCTGGGGAGCAGGTCCCGCCGGACCCCGTGGGGCTCTGAGTGGAGGCTGCATACCAAAGTTTCTCACCTGAGTCAGGAAACCCACCATCCTCTGCAGACGGTCACCCCAGGGCAACAAAAGTTCCCAGAGAGAAAGTACATTAAGGGGGAAGGGAGATGGAGCCGCACAAAACTTCATGCAGGGCCGGAGGGGAAGGGGTGGGGCCCGGTGTTCCGGTGTGGGGACCCTGTGTCCCGGCCACCGTCCTCCAACCACCCTGGCGCAGGTGGCAACAGCTCCTTTTCCTCCCAAGTGCCCCAGTTTGAAGCTAAATGACCTTTCCCCCTAAGTGTGGGTGCAGACGCTCCAGCGCGAGTGGGTATCGGCTCATGTGAAATGTTTTAGGGTCTATGTCTCAGAATTTTATTGAAAATTAACAAACACTATGTTATAAAATTAGGCAAAATCAATCTACTCGTGACTGTTTCTATTCTACCCATGAATTGTAAATGTTTTAAGCAGATTGTCAGAAAATCTCTGAAGAATGCTACTGATGTGATGTGTGTTTCTAAGATCAGCTTTGGGGGGATCTCAGCACCTGGAAAGCCGGTGACGTTTCAGAGGAAGAGCTTCCGTGGATGTTTAGAAAACATTAATGTTAATGGAGAGGACGTCATTGACTTGGCCAAACGGCACAGACCACAGGTCCTCGTTACGGTGAGTCCCCTGGGGACTGGCTGGTGTCTGAGAGGTGGCTTCCTGGCTGCTCCTAAATGTCCAAATGTCCAGGATGATGTGATTGATCTGGCAGCTTCCTCAGAATGGCGGTGTGCGCGTGACATGTGAGCCCGGCCAGAGGGAAAGGAACTGATGTTTGTTCTTTATACGAGACGAGGAAACACGCTCTTGCTTAAAATGTAAAAAGAAGATTAAGTCTCAGCTTGCATTTTCCTTGAGTGGAGATGTTATTACTCACAGAGGCCAGTCCCTTCAGACGCAAGTCCCAGTGAGCCAGCAGGGTCTCCGAGCCCCACAGGGAGAGCTCCCAGGTTCCTTACATTCAATATCACGGCACTTGAGACATATGGAGCAGAGCGTTTGCTGTGGAAGTTTATATGCTATTGCAATATTCTCTGTGACTCACAGGGAGATGACAGACGGACGCTCAGCATGGCGTCATTTAATCTGAGGCTGACTCCAGGCTGAAATCCCAGACATGCTTCCTGATGGCTGTGGCCCTTGGACATGGTTTTAATCTCTCTGTGCCGGCACATTATTTGTATATACCAGTTAATACAGCATTCTGGTTAAAATCCCAATCTCCTGGGCTTTGTTAACGGACCCCACTCCTGAAAGATGAATTTTTCACATTGGGCTGAGCCCTCCTGACATGGCAGAAGCCAGCGGCTCCAGTCAGTGCCTCTTGCGGGTCCTTCTGCAAAGGCTGCCACCTCCCATGACCCCGGGCCTCACCCAGCAGCTCATCCAGATGTGCGTAAAGTGAGGTCCCCTGTACTCAGGTGAGAACCCTGTTTCAGCATCTTTACATCTTCAGGAGGACGGTGTGTTGGGACCAGTGGGGCCAAGTCTGAGAAGCTGGGTAGGTGGCTGTGCTCATCCATTGCCACGGTCAGCGTCACCTGAATGTCCACTGGGCTCCTTCCTGGATGCTGGTCACTGGGGAGGACACAGGAGATGCCGGGAAGGTCATTGGAATCTGGTGGGGGTTGGACAGAGAACAGGTTATCCCAGAGAAGCTGGGGTGACAGGCAGCGTCCACCTGCCTGTGATGGAAGTGTCCAGAAGCCCCTCAGCACTGCCTCTGTCTCTTCCATCCTCAGGGAAACATCTCCTTCTCCTGCTCACCCCCACAGACAGTGCCGGCTACGTTTCTGAGCACCAGGAGCTACTTAGCACTGCCTGGCACCCCTGGGGAGGACGGGGCTTCGGTCAGCTTCCAGTTCCGGACATGGAACAGTGCATGGCTGCTGCTGTCCTGCCAACCTCGCCCAGACTCAGGGGGTCTCCTCCTCAACCTCAAGGATGGGAGCCTCAAGCTGAGTGTGCACCTGCCCCCAGGACATGCACAAAGTGA